AACACCAAGAGCTACTGTTATTTTGCCTGTACTATGTGCTGGGCACTGTTTTCATAAATGTGTATATCTGTGTTACAAACACTTTTTATGTGTATGACCTCAGTTAATTCCCTCAACAATCCTGAGGTACCATTACTATCTTACCCTACAGGAGAAGATGGAGGGTTGAGAGCCAGAGCAGCGCCCAGACCCTGATCCTGACTCCAGATGGCCCCTGAGGAACAGCCTCTTACCCGCGTAGCACCTGGTCCCTGCATGTGTCCACTGCCTCCGGCCTCATCTGGATGATTATATTGACTTCCTAACTGATCTCCCAACTGCACACGAATCTCTCTCCATTTTCATTCACCTTCAAGAGGGCCACTAGGCTCACTAAAAAATAATTTGGTCATCATAGTTTTGAGTGGTTCCCTCTCTCATGCCTCAGCACACATGGAGGCCACATGATCTGGCACCAGCCTGTGCTGTCCCCTGCCTCCTGTTCCCCACCCTAGACACATGCTCTTCTCTTTTAGGCTCTGGGACAGTTCTCTTTGCCTGCAGTGTTCTGTGGACCCACCGCACCTCCTGCTTACCTGGAAAATGCCTGCCCGTTTGTTAAGTCCTAACTGCAGTTCTCTCTCCCTCTGTATGCTGTCATGGACTCCACAGACCACCCAGCGCCAACTATATATTTATTTACAAATTAAGACTTATTATGACTCAAGAGAATGGAAAGGATGGGATGGGATAGAGGCAAAGTGATTTGGTGCAAGCCTCTAGCTTGCTCTTCTTCCTGTTCCTCCTCTTCTCTTCCATTTCCTCCTCTTTTTTTTAATTATTATTATTACTTCTTTTAAGTTATTATTATTATTATTTGTACCAGGATTGAACCCAGGGGTGCTTAACCATTAAGTCCCATCCCCAGCCCTTGCTATTTTTATTTAGACAAGGTCTCACTAAGTTGCTTAGGACCTTGCTAAGTTGTTGAGACTGGCTTTGAACTCTCAATCCTTCTGCCACCGCCTCCTGAGCAGCTGGGATACAAGTGTGCACCACCACATCAGGCTCCCTGCTCTCCTTTTCAAGGGCAAAAACAGAGTCTCCTGCCTTCTTGAATTGCTGTCCCTTCTTAGCTCTGGTAAATACAAGATCCAGAGATATGCACCAGCTTTTTTCTCACTATTACACCTGCTTTGCCCCCATGCAGCCCCTCATTTCACTCTTTTATAACAGGTTTCATACTTGGTGCCCCCTTCCATCATTTAATATTCATACAGGGGACCAGGGTATGCCACTTTCAAAACATGCCATTCTCACAGAAGAATATTTTGAACTAAGGTGACTGAGAAGGAGCAGATATGAGTGAGCACTCTGCCCTCCCTCATCTTCCTAAAAGCAAGGCATATTATTTCCCTTGTCCCTTTGTTCCATAAAAGGAAGAGGAATACAACACTTTTCACCAGGTGGTAAGTGTGGAAAAGCAAACCTTCCCAGAATCAGCTTTATCTTCCATTAGTCGTCCCCCCTGCCATTTATTTCCAAGTTGCTTTCCCAAAATTCATTGGCCTGAACAGCCCCAAACCTCTTTCCTTTGTCTAGTCACTTCTCCTAATGTGACACCCTTTGTTAAAATGATACATAAACTCTCAAGTTTAACTGCTTCTTTGGGCTGTTCACTTTGTGAGGTTCCCATGTGAAATTTAAAAAGTTACTAAAATTTGTAATACTTTTCTCCTGTTAACTCAGTTTTCATTTGTTTAATTCACGGTACTTAGGAATTGTACCTGAAAGGGTAGAAGTTTTTCCTCCCATTTACTATCAGATGGACATCCCTGTGACTATTGAATAGACAAACTGGGACTCAGAGAGATAGTAACTTATAGGTAGAATCAGGGTTCATGTCAAAGTCCTTTTTCCCCTTCTTCTTTTCTTATTAATACCCAAAAGTTCTGTTTTGTCCTTCTAGTGATGATGAGGCCCAAGGGGCTGCTCACACATGCTCATTGCAGATTTTGTGTCTTTTCCAAAGTTCTCATGCAAAGTGTCAGGGCAGGAAAAGAAGCACACCTAGGAACAACTCTGAAAATCCCCATCCTACACCAAATTGGAATAGCCTGTTTTATTTTTTTTAAAGGGATAATTAATTTTTAAATTAATTCATTAAGGAAGCACTGAGAATGGAATCCAGGTCTTTGAGCATGCTAAGCAAGCTACACCCCACCACTGAGCTATACCCCAACTCTGCCTGGTGTTTTTAATAGGCCTCCTTCTGGGACTGTGGCACCCAACCCTGGGATGAGCAGCATTAATCACTTAGTGAGTTTGGGTGGATGACAAGAGTTCTGGGGCAGGCACCAGGGCCACTATCAGACAGGGGCTGTGGGACCTAGTTTAGAAGGAAGGAGTTCTGAGATGCTTGCTCTATTCAAGATGGAATTCCCCCCCAATCTTTGGAAGGATGCCTGCAGGTAAATACTGCAACCATGTTGTGAGCCGGAGGGGGAAAAAGGGAGGAGAAGGCAGTTTTGTTTCCTAGCGACAGAGCAAGTCTGGATCAACCCTAAGTCATTAAAAGAGACTTTTCAGGTTTGTCAACACAAAAGAACCCAAGAAGAAAATAGTGGGCTAAATGTGACATTAAAATTCTTGACAGTGGCCCAGTAATCCCACTGCTTAAGTTTAAGAAACTTGCCAAGCGGGTAAGGAAAGAGCATTTTTTTCCATTTATTTGGTTTCAAACAGAAGAAGAAAGTTCTGCTCACCCGGAAGCCAGTGTTGCTGAAGCCCTCGGTTTTGGGGGCTGCTGTACTTGTCAGCTCCATGTTCTGTTCACCAGCTGTCTGGGCTCTGAATTCTCTGATGTCCTATCTGAAGGTCCTCAGGACCTGGGTAAAAGAAAACAGTCTCTGCTGATGTCAAAATGCCAGCTGCTGTGGCGGAAATCTGGACATTGCTTCAGTTTGGAAACTTCTATAATAATCTCCGGAATGACTTGGGCTGAAACCAGATTGGGTGGGGCCGGAGGGGCCAGAAGGGCCGAGTGGAGGCTTCTGGTTCAGGCCCACCCACCTCTTTTATCCTTCTAAGGATTTCCATCCTTGGGGCTTTCCATGTTCACTTCTGGAAAGAAGACTTTTGTGGTGCACAGGCGTGATACTTTCTCTGTAGACCTTAGTGAAATAGCTCTCTTCTTGTGAATAGTGTTGAGGGAAGGAGTGTGGCTGGTAGAGCAGGGAAAGTAAGGATTGGTTCCTATCAAGTTATCAACTACTGTGAGCCAGGCACAAGTTAGGTGCAGTGTATACAACTATCTCTGTCTTACACTTGGACAAACTGAAGTGGTATCCCCTTTCTCCACAGAAAAGCCCGCTTCAACATGACTAATTTTAGGGCTGTCAGCAAAAGAATCTCTGAAAAAGAGTCCAATGTAGGTAAACTTCCTATTTTCCTTTCACCCTTTTTACTTGGCTACTGGCCGAGAAAATAACAGCACTCCAGGTGCTGAACACCCCCTTACTAGTTATCACAAACGCATCCAAAGATAAGTGTCACAGTAGAATGGGTAGAGAATAGTGATGAGAGGGGAGGGGACAGGAGGGGGGATAGGGAGGGCAGCAGAATACAACTGACACTAGGATTGCTGTATGTATA